CAGGTCACGATCTCATGGTCTGTGGGTTCGAGCCCCGGGTCGGGCTCTGTGCCTACAGCTCGGAGCCCAGGGCCTGCTTTGGATTCTGTGTCTCCCTCTCCCTCTGCCCCTCCCTCGCTCCCACTCTCTTTCTCTCTCAAAAACTAAACAAACATTAAAAAAAATAAAAAATAAAGATAGAATAGAGGGCTTAAGCAGTGGACTCGAGCTAGACTGCCTGCGGACAAATCCCGGTTCCAATATTTTTAAAAATTTATTTGAAAGACAGAGAGAGAGAATTGCAAACAGGCTCCATGCTCAGCGAGGAGCCTGATGTTGGGCTCAATCCCATGACCCTGGGATCATGACCTAAGCTGAAACCAAGAATCAGATGCTCAACCGACTGAGCCTCCCAAGCACCCCTCCAGTTCTAATATTTACTCATTATATAACTTTAGTCATGTCACTGGACTTTTCTGTGCCTTCGTTTCCTCTTCTGTAAAATGGAGCTATGAATAGTACCTACATGATAAGGCCATAGGAAAGATTAAGTAAGTTAAATGAATAAACGGGTAAAGCATTTGTGACACCACTGGGCACATGTTAAGTGATCGATCCACAAACATTAGCGAGTCTCACAATCTCCAGTCATTAAGTCCTGTCCATTCCATATGCTAAAAACCTTTCTGAATCCTGCCTCCCCCTCCCCCATTACTGCTTTAGTTTAAGATTACGTTGGCACAATTGTTTGCAGTCGCACCTTAACGAGTTTGGTCTCCCCCTCTTCCAACCCTCCCCTCTGTCTCACTTGACTGCTTGACACCTTCTTGCTTAGACTTCACACTCAGCTCTGATGTCACCTCCGTGAAACGTCCCCTGCTTCCCAGCCTTTCCCTCACCCAGCTAAGGCTCTCCGTGTGCATTCGTATGACTTTGAGCACACCTCCCCCACAGTGCATCTCACACAGCACCGTGACTGGCCTTGATATTCCCGGGGCTGTGAGCACCTTGAGGGGTGGGGAACTGGGCTTACGCAGCTTTGAACTTCCAGCAGAAACACAACACCTGTTACAGAGTAGGTACTTATTGATGGCTTGGGTGGGTGAATGAATGGCCTCCGCCTGTAGAAAGTTAGCTTACAAGGTTCATTTTGCAAGTCGAGGTGAGCACACGTAAGGCTAAAGAGTAACTGTGCATTAAGGGCTGCAAGAGTTCAGAAAAGGGCATTTGATGAGTGTTAGACAAATCAAATCAGGCTTCAAAGGGTAGGGCTTGATTTGGAACTTAAGAACGGGCAGCACTTGGGGCACCTGGCCGGCTCAGTCGGTGGAGCATGTGGCTTTTGATCTCAGGTTTGTGGGTTTGAGCCCCACATTGGGTGTAGAGATTACTTAAAACAATCTTCTAAAAGAAAAGAAAAAAGGAACAGGCAGAACTTGGCATGAATAGAGCAGCGGCCATAATTTAGGCCAGAGGAGTGTTTTGTGAGTTGAATAGATGATAACAGAATTTAAAAAAAAAAAAAAAAAATCCAAACATCTAGCCTCTCCAAAAGAGATAAGAGACCAGCCTAATTAGGGTGTGCATGCAGGTCCTTCTGCTCTAACAACGGTGTGTGTCCTGAAGGTTTATTTACAAGTTATTTGTTTGCAGGACGGTGAAATTTCTGACCATGCCCCAAATACTGCATTTTAAGTTTCTTAAATAGCTGATCTATCCCATGGAGTACTAGCCTGAGCCCCAGGGCCTGGGAGCAGGGGTTCGGGACAAGGCGTGATAGGTTCTGGGCTGGAAGGCATAGAGTAGTAGAGGAAATGGAGCTTTGTTATTCTTCTACAACCTTCTCTGTACCCTTTTCTAGATCTCGGTTTCTCTTTCTCTGTCTCTGGATACAGTTGCTCTATTCCCCCTCACCCCGCGCCCCCCCCCCTCCCCGCCAGCTGCCTTCATATAGTACCCCACCCACGTTTGCAAGGACTCCAGAAGGCTCTCTCACCACCAGCCTTCCCGGTTCCCTGAGGGCAGCAGCTCTTTGCTATTTGAAGGAACTTGACTGAACTCATTTGCACCAACGTGAGACTAACTGACAGTTGCCTTATCCTGGCAGCTCTACTTATTGTAATTTTCACAGGATTCTTTTTAGCTCAAATGAACCCATACTCGATGGAATTTCTGGCAGTAGTACATAGCAAACAATGAGAGAGAGGGGGACGGGGGAAGAGAGGGAGAGAGAGAAAGCGCAGGTGCAAACCTTGGAGAGAAAGTTTGTTGGAGAGAGAGTTGGCACTATAGGAGAAGATATTTGAGGACAGGGAAAGCCTTTGCGAACTTCCCTTTCTGCTCTGATCCTTACTCTATCTATTTTTGGTACCTTCCTTTCTTGAATGCACAGAAACTTTAAGCTGCAGGGGCACCTGGGTGGCTCGGTCGGTTAAGCGTCCGACTCTGGGTTTCAGCTCAGATCTTGACCTCATGGGTTCGTGAGTTTGAGGCCCGCACCAGGCTCTGAGCTGACAGTGCGGAGCCTGCTTGGGATCCTCCCCCTCTCTATACCCTTCTCCTGCTCACACTCTCTCTGCCTCTCTCAAAATAAATTAACTAATTTAAAACTTTTTAATGTTTATTTTTGAGAGAGACAGAGGCAGAAAGAGAGGGAGACAAAGAATCCAAAGCAGGCTGCAGTCTCTAAGCTGTCAACAGAGAGCCCGATGGGGGGCTTGAACTCCCGAACCTCAAGATCATAACCTGAGCCGAAGTCGGACACCCAATCGACTGAGCCACCCAGGCACCCCTAAATAAATTAATTTTTAAAAAAAATTTAAAAGAAAGAGGCTATAAGCTGCATTAAATGAATGCTACTGTGGCAGTTCCTGGTGAAAGGGATTTTGTGTTTTCCAGGTGTGTGCAAATCTGGGACAGCTCGTAATGGGAAATGAGATTAAGTAAGTCACGTGGAGCTGGGGTTGCGGGACCCTGAAAGTGGAGTCTACAAATATATCCACACAAATAAGAAGTCATAGGTTTTTGAATGAGGATTGAGATAGTCAAAGCAATATGGAAGGCATAATTAATTCTAATTTTAGATGAGGAATGGTGGGGTGTCAAGTTCACTCTTGGCTCTTGTGTGAGTGGTTAATACAGACTCCTACCTTTTGCTACCCTTTTTTTTCATTGTTCTGGGACTATTTCCTCTGTTAGTGTCAGAACCCCCGCCTGTCTGTCTGTTCTGTGTGACTTCTGTGCCAGTCTTTCCTTTAGGATTCAGGATCCTAGAGACTTTTATGACTCTTGCATTTCCAAACTAGCCCGTAGGGACTTATACACTGCGTTTCTGTGTCCCAGTAGCAAAATTCAAGTGCAGTGTTAGCAAAACACGGCTCCCTTTTATGACGCCACGTTACTTTTATTTAAATAAAAACCTCCAGCCTTTGTACCCCCGAACACGCCCCAAGATCGTGGTTAATGATCTGTACCAGTGAGCCCTCACAGCTGCTGGAGCCTCTACCCCCTCTACCTAACCCTAAGAAAATGCTAAAGTTTGTTATGAATAAGCTCTTCCCTGTGGGGAACTCCATTGTCTTTGATTCTTTTTATCACTCATTATGTTGATATCCTGGGTATTTCTACCCTGCCGGTTTGCGTAAATGGGTGTGACAAAGGGATTGGAGACGTTTCCTTCAGCCTAAATTGTAATTCTCATAGTGGAACGGACGATTCACAGGTCTTTAATCAAACATGTATTTTTTTTCCCTCTATTTTGAAAGTTACAGGAGCTTGTTAGCGTTGGGCCCTCCTGTGCTTAATGTGTGTATTTTACTCTTGACTGCTCACCGTGTCATTTGAGCTACTAGGTTGTGGTGATGTGAAGTGACTTGCTTGGTTGAATTCAGTTTTATTTTTTTGCTCAGTCTAGTGGAGCAGTTATTGTCAAAATTGGACTTCGTGGCTCCCCTTTTCATCAGCACTGGTTGCGATAATTTAAGAAGACCTCATAGGGGCGCCTGGGTGACGCAGTCGGTTAAGCGTCCGACTTCAGCCAGGTCACGATCTCGCGGTCCGTGAGTTCGAGCCCCGCGTCGGGCTCGAGGCTGATGGCTCAGAGCCTGGAGCCTGTTTCCGATTCTGTGTCTCCCTCTCTCTCTGCCCCTCGCCCGTTCATGCTCTGTCTCTCTCTGTCCCAAAAATAAATAAAAAACGTTGAAAAAAAATTAAAAAAAAAAAAAAAAGAAGACCTCATAAGCCAAAGAATATGGTTTTTATCCTTTCCAATGAGTAGTCTGTAGAAATTCTTGGTTTTAGGAGATGCTGTTTCGTATTTCAGTGTTCTGGCCTAGGTGATAAACCAATGAAGTGCATTTCTTCGGTTTTTAGTTTTACCAGTCCTGTCTTGACCTTGACAAACGATGATTGGCGACTCCCTTCCTTATTGTAGCTACGCGTTTCCTTTGCTCAGTTTAGGTCAGGAGTCGCTTACTGAGCCATCCACCCCTCCCTCCGTCCATCATAAAGTTGTTCTATACCTGCTGTTGTGGGCACCATGCTAGGCACACACAGGGTCGATCACACGGACACCAAGAGTCATTTAGGTATTTAGGTAGAGGATTTGCAGTGGTGGTCTTTCGTTTATTTCTCACGCTTCACATCTTCGTTCAGGAAGGATGAGGCCCTTTGACGATTTCTCATTTCATTATCACCCGAAAACTGCTTAGTCTTGGAAGAGAGAGCTTACCTCCGCCAACTTGATTTCACCCCAGTTGCCTCCTACAACTAACTGGACTACTGTGTGACAGGCACTGGGATGGAGAAATAAAAACATAAGGAGGACCCAAACGCAGCCCTCAGGAGTATACAGTCTAGTTTAGAGTTTATAGAAACAGTTACAATCCAAAGTGACAGGACCTATAATATTCAAGGTGTCGTGGGGGGTTAGAAAACCTAGCAACGGAGTCTGCTAAGGGATGGGGGGTGGGGGTGTTGTTCATGGAAGGAGATAAGCTCGAACACTTGAGTATGACTAGAAATTTGCTTGGTAGACAAGGAGAGCAGGGCATTCCAAGTGGAGAGAACATCATAGGAGAAACTACTGAGGCATGAGGGAGTATGGCCCATTGGAGATCTGTGCCAAGAAGTGCTAATCGAGTGATAAAAAGGGAGCTCTGAGAATTGCCACTGGGAAGGTATTTCTGGCATAGGTATAGGCTGACGATTCTGCAACCTGAATCAGAGATCGTCCTGTATCTCCCATGACCCGTGCCTCTTTTCCTCCGGCCTCTTCCTTCCTTCCTCATAAAGGAACTCCGTGGCGGTGTTTAGGAGTCATATTGGTGTGTGTGGGGGGGGGGGGGGGTTCCCTAAAATAAATATTCATACAATACAGAGGAAGCTAACAGACACCAAATTAGGTGTCAGGGGACCTGGATTCTTGTTTCCCAGTTCTCTCAGCAGCTGTGTCACTTGAGTCGTCATTTAATAACTCTGTTTCTTCACTAAAATGGGAATATTAACACCTGCCTTGCCTCCCTCAGAGTCCAGGGAAAAAGGAAAAATGAGACTCTTAAAAGGTCCAGTAAATTTTTTTTTTATTGGGAATCCTGCCAGCTAAGGCTACCACCCGACATTTAAGACAAGTAAAATACTTGACGGGGTATCTGGATGGGAAGGCTGGGTCGAAAAGCACAGGAATATGCTTACTTCCTCATTAACTCCCTGTGTCGGCCCTGCTGCCTATGGGGCGTCAGTCAGCTTAGTTCCCTGTTTCTGCACCAACGTGATCACATTTCCTTCTTCCCAGTGGTCTTGTCACGTATATCTTCGCCCACGTTAGATTCTCACAGTAAGTCCGCGATGGTAAGGGATTTAAGACTTGGGCCAGTAAAATACGAGTCGGTATATTTCACAGTCAACCTTGAATGATTTACGATCTGTTAGGCAATTTGAATTACTCCTGAACTACCCTCCGTCGTTTGTGGCACAGCACTTCCTTACATTTTAAGGCTGTATAAAAAGGTTATGAGGGGCGCCTGGGTGGCGCAGTCGGTTAAGCGTCCGACTTCAGCCAGGTCACGATCTCGCGGTCCGTGAGTTCGAGCCCCGCATCGGGCTCTGGGCTGATGGCTCAGAGCCTGGAGCCTGTTTCCGATTCTGTGTCTCCCTCTCTCTCTGCCCCTCCCCCGTTCATGCTCTGTCTCTCTCTGTCCCAAAAATAAATAAAACGTTGAAAAAAAAAATTTAAAAAAAAAAAAAAAGGTTATGATTCATTCAAGTGGGAATGGGAAGTTACGAAACGGGCCTTCTACTCTTCTTTTCTTCCTAATCCTGTGACAGTACAGGTAGAGTTATTAGTACCAGGAAAAGGCTTTTCTTCCCTTTTGACCCCACCTGTGCCACTGGTCATTCACCCGAAATGTGACCTTCCGGGCTGGAGGAGTATGAGTAGTTACTCCCAACATGAGTACCCCTGACCGACCCTTCTTTAGATCACTGGTTTTCCAAGTCTGTCGCCCGAGGACCTTTCTGCACGACAGAAAACTCGGTAAGCCACTCAGGCCTCCTGCTCTGAGCCATCTTAACAGCTATGGATGCGATCACACGACGATGCTATTTTAAATGGAACGTAAGTGAATTGTTTATACTAGGTGAATACAGACCCTGTCATCAAAATCGCTAATAACATAAGAGACTTACTGTGTCCTAGCAGGACGTGGTGATTCCTCTCCGTTCCCCTCTTCTACGTGAACTAGCACACGTGAACGTGCCTGTGAAGTTGGAAAAAAAAAATACCTATTCCAGTTTAAACTATAATAGAAAAACGATTATTGCCTTTTTTCCGCCAGGCTTGAGGGACACACTCTGGCAATTGTTCTGTTTTCCACAAAATTAAATGAGGAAACGGTCTGGTTTGTTTTCTCTTTGTTTTCAAGTCTGCGGTACCATTGATACATGGTTTAAAAGCATTCTTCCGAGGACCTAGTGGATTAAATCATTTTTATGTCCCCTAAGTACTGCCCCGTTGTGGAGAATTCTTGAGAAAAGTGTGGCACCTATCCAAAATCACATTCTCTGGTTTTTTTCCCCCCGTATTTGAATTTTTTCCTTATAAGTTAATGGAAAGGAAAGTGGTCAGTTTTTGCACTCAAGAAACAAGAAAGAAGGTGCAGACAGCTTTTATCTGGGACATTTTTAACTGATCGAAAGAATATTTTTAAGTATTAACTGCTTTTTGAAATTCTTGGCAGAGCCCTCTTAACCCTCTAACATAGAATGGTTGAATAAGATGAAAAGATTTTTTTTATTGTCTACATAAAAGAAAGCACCATGGTTTTTGCATCATTGCATAAATCTAAGAGATTATGCACACATAAAGAGGATGAGACCAAGCTGAAGGCTAAATGCCAACATCAACGAAAGCTTGTCTGAGTATTTGACACTGTGCATGATGGGGTGTGGTTCCACAGGGAGAGGACACTAAATATTTACACCCCAGGACATGTTTCTCTGGTAAAGCTTCTTGCCCTAGATTAATCTTCCAGCTCATACTATTACCCCCTTCTTTAACCATACCCCCTTCTTACACTTGGATTTTCTCCCATAAAACTTCATGAGAGGCTAAACCTTCTAGATCCAATCCCCTGCCCTCGCTTTTCCCATCTCTCCCATCTCTTTCTGTGGTCTTCGTGAATTCTGTTTTATTGTATGGACCTTCAGGTGAATTATCTCGGTTTACCACAAGTAGTAAAACACAAGCATGGCCCCCCCCAAGCCTCCCTCACAGCTCTTCCCCCCCCCACCCCCACCAAAGATCACAGCTCTATAATTAAGCTATTCTGTTGGTATCCCTTTCTCATCAATTCTCTGGAATTTTCCGGCAGGAGTTGTGATGTGTGCAACCCACATTGTTACCTAGTAATGCCGAGTCGCTGCCCAGTGCAGATAAAGTTCTGTGCACATTTCATGCCCTTTCCTCTCAGGCTTGAGAGTAGTAAAGGAAGTTATTGAGAGGAGTGTGTACTGTGAAGAATGGGGAGGTGTGCTTTCCTCGGCCACTTACCATCAGGCTCTGACTTGCCTTAGTGTCCTCTCCGCGCCATCTTGTTTGGCTTTATAGGCAAAGAATCGAAGAGGGTTTTCGAACATTGTGCGCTAAACTTTAGGAGGAATGCATGGTCCGTGTAACGGAGGAACATTTCAAAACTGGAGACTCAAATTACCATGGGAGACATCACAGAAAAGAATGGAATTTGAGCTGGATCTAGAAGGATGAGTTGAGTTCAGAAAAGTGGAGAGGGGAAGAGATTTCACTTAGGGGGGCCTCTGAAGCAAAGGGAGACAGAACAAAACAAGCCTACGAGACAGAGAATGGGCAGTTGGTGGAGTTCAGGAGTGGGTTGGTCAGCTCATAATGAGTCCTTTTTTTTTATTAAAAATTTTTTTAACATTTATTCATTTTTGAGAGACAGAGTGTGAGTGGGGGAGGGGCAGAGAGAGGGAGACACGAAATCTGAAGCAGGCTCCAGGCTCTGAGCTGTCAGCACAGAGCCCGACGCGGGGCTCAAACCCGCCAACCGTGAGATCATGACCTGAGCCGAAGTCGGACGCTCAACCAAGTGAGCCACTCAGACGCCCCCGTAATGAGTTCTTAGTGCTGAGCATCGTCGCTTGATTAATTCCTTGAGTGATCCACGCATTCAACAACTGGCTTCTCATAGCTCATAGGATGAAATCCACACCATTTCACTCACATGTGATTTCCTTATATGTTAAAATCTACTCCCCTCAACACTGTGTACCTAAACACCCGCCAGTAATATTGAAGACTTTCTTGACCCTTCCAACATGTCGTACTCCTTTAAATCTCTGTGTGTCTGCACAGACTGCGTCTTCTGGAGTCTACCTGGGGAATAATACCTCATCCTTCGACCCCAGTCGCAGCCTGATTTTTATTGTTCCTCTGTAGAATCGTAGGCATGTACGACTAAAGCTTTTATGCCATATTTTGTGCTGTCAGAGTGCACGTCTGTTTCCCTCACTCAACTAAGAGCTCCCTGAGAGCAGGGGATTGTTCCCTGTTCACCTTTATATCCATATCACCTAGCGGAGTACCCACCACATATGTAGCAAATCCTTAACAAATATTTGTTGACTAAACCGTGTGTTGAACGTTTAATTTACATCACGTATAGCCGTCTTTGAAGAGAGTCACCTAGAAGCAATGTGATTGACAGATCGAACATGGGTGATGCAGAGAGATCAGTTATGTGTATTTTTGGAAGTAGCTCATTTGCTAAAAAAAACATAAACAAGAACAAAAACAAACACTAGGGACTAGACACCTGTGAAATCGACAAAGAATAAAGGCTAGGACTTCATGCCTGGCTACTAGAGGCACGGGAGAGGGAAGGGTTACAGAGAACGAAGATTTAAGGTAACATGACAAAGAACAGGGCAGCGACCCTTGAAAAAAGAAGGTTACTTTCAGGCAAACGTGTTTTCTCCTACGTCAGATCTCCCGGTGTTGGTATTTGTCTCATCCCACCTCTGCTCTAAAGCCCGGCACTTTGTTCCCGTTCAATTAACTGGAACTAAGCTCGAGGTTCCTGTGGCTCTGATCCCCGAATCTGATCCGTCCTTAAGATAAGAAATAAAAATAGTTCAGCCACGCCGGCTACAATTTCCTACCAATGGAAGGTGTTCAGTGCATAGGTTTTTGAATATATAAAAAGGCTGTTTCTGCCTTTGGGAGCTGCAACTGAAGTGTTATACCAGGCAGATACACTGGGGTGCGCTACTGTGTAGCAGAGCCTAGCCGTGCCTCCCAGCTCTCAACTTTAAAACTCCAGAGAATTTGATGAGAGAGGGATCCACAAGAACATGACAAATGATGAGAGTTCAAACCTTGAGAGAAAAATGGGCTTATTGGTAAGAGACCTTTCTTTTCCTTTATTTACTGCTGTTACTTCTTCATTACAATAGCAAGCCTGTTGTTTTCATACGTGGCTGTGAAACGGTGTACAAAAAGCAATTTTATATGTATTGTAGAATTCAGGAGACATATTGGTAACCATGCAAAAATCATAGGAAGCATGGAGAAAGCTTGATTTTTTTTTTTTTAAGTCACTAAGGAGATTTTATTTTCTTTCAGACTGTGGTATAGATTTGTATATATATCTGAAGCTTAAATGTAATACAGGTTAAGAAATACATATATATATATATTTTTAAAGTTAAAATAAAGAATAGTGACTTGTGTAGAGATACATAATTTCCCTCAGTTACCAGAAGGTGGCACACCAGATTCTTCTTAAATACACAAAGGAAAGGAATAATATTAATAGGAATATAAAATAAGCTGTATTTAAAGATACGTTAATGTATTTGTAAGTAAAAAATAATGTAATTGCTATTTGCGTGGTGAGGCTTAATGCTAAAACATGGCAAATATTAATTCAACCCATTGTAGCTTTTTATGATTGCAAAATAATTTTTATGCGTATAGCGTTTTAAAAGTGGACTTTGAAATAGTATTGCCGTTAAAGAGATGCTGTTTTGAATTCATGGCTCCAAATAAAATAAATAAAAGACTTGCTACCTACCTTTACATAAGAAGTCCTTAGCTTGAGGATAACATTTTGGATAAGGTCTCTGCCAAGGTCTTTCTGACGGTACTATTAGACTCTGACTTTGATTGAGTTGTGACTTGAATAGTGCTTGTGAGATGACCCAGAAAGGAGCCCGAACTGTTTATTTTGAAGACAAAGTTAGATAAGGGTAACGCTTAGCAGCGGTCACTCTCCGTAAGCTAATTGCAACATGAAACGTAATAAAGGTGAATGCATGAAATGTGGCGTTAGCTGCTCCTACACTTTCTCAGAAAGTTGACTGGTGTCAGCCTATACCGCAGTGCTCCGTAGTAGGTCTCTATTTTGAGAGCTGCGTTCCTCGGGCAGTACCAGAAGTCTTGTCTGTTCATCGTTGTCTTTTATATTAGCCCGGAGGAGTGAGATACAGGAGAGTTCACAAAACCCAAATCTTCCGGTTAAGGAGACCGGTGCCTCTGTTTGTGTGTTTTTATTAATTATGAGCAGTATGACAATAAGAAAATTGGTAGTAAACGCACCTAGAAGAACATTAACCATCTGTTCCCTGAAAGCTTGTAATGTGTGTCATTTGCTCTCAGGTTTTTATGGCACAACAGTGGATCAGCAAAGAACTGAACTCTAAGCTTCAAAAACTAGAAAATGACAAAGCATTCCAAGGCCGGGTATATATTGACTGGAAAAGCCTTTCCTTCTGTCCCGATTTTGCCAGTTTAGTCTTTCAGATCAGCTGCCAATAGATGTTGCATTTAACGTCAGTCTTCATTCCAGACTTTCTGAAACATTAAGAGGGCTTCTAAAAACAAATAGAATCTTATGGCTTTCTTGTTAAGTTGTTTTTTTCTTTTTTTAAGTGAACTTACATATTTACAAGTTGTTCTGAGTGGTATTGACTGTTCAGGATTTATGAACATGGTTTATTAATTTGCAGCTAAAATATATATTCTGCAGAGCATGCTTTGAAAAATTGGAACTAAATACAGTAAAGCCACAATTAACCAGATTTTTTTTTTTTTTTTTTTTTTTTTTTTTTTGCACTCCACTTTCAGGAGACGGAGGCAGTTGTCTTTAAAACAAGCCGATTTCAAGGATATATTCAAAAAATCAACTTCGGGGTATGTCCAAGGGTCTGCATTTTCCTCTACCTTTTTGCCAGTGAGAATTTATTTGTATAAAAAAGACCCTGAGATACTAGAAGACATTCGGTCATCAAGGCAACGTGGAATAATGTCTAGGTTAATGTGTTTATGAAGCTGAAAAAAAATGATAAATTATCCTGTTACAAAAATACCACACACCATCTATTGTGCTCTGCATTTTCAAATGGGCTTTCCCAAACACAAGTTCAGTTGGTTTTCATAAGATTGCCGTGAATGGGACAAAGGGGCCCCTTCCCTATTTTACAGATCAGGGAGGGTACTATGGCAAGTCACAAAGCTAGTCAGTGGGAGACCACAACCAGACCACAGGTGCCCACGGCCGTGTCCTTCTCCATCCTTCCTGATCAAAAAGGTTTGAAACAAATTTTTCACTTTCACGTGCTATTGGACAATGTGTAATTTAGACTACCTTTGTTTCCTAATTGCTGGGACTTCACAGCCCCCACTCTGCGTATGTCTGTCGGTCTGCCTCTGTGCCTATCTCTCAGCCAGCTGGAGACCTTGCTTTCAGACTCACCCAGACCTGGAAGGATCTCGAGTGCGGGAGGGGCAAGATAATGGCCGTGGACGGTGCAGACTGGCAAGCAGTGGTGAGCAGCCCACGCTGATATGCTGGGGAAGGCCGGCGACCCAGAGGGAAAACAGCCTCGCCGTAGCTGGGGCTATCTCCGGTGGGGGGTGAGCAACCTTGACTCTAAAGCAATGTTTCTTCACGGGCGGTGGACCAGGCAGGAAAATCAACTGGGTCACTTGTATAAAATGCAGAGTGCTAGGCCCCACCTGCAGACTTCTACAGAAAATATTCACCCCAGGTGATTCTTAGGCCATACCAAAGTTTGCGAACACCTGCCTTCAAGGTATAGGACTTTTCCTGTGCTCTGCGTATCGGCGTGTAAAGAAAAGAGCCACCTTTCTTTGGTAGCATCCATGCTTCGTGTCAAAGTCTGTATGTGTCTCCACCCGAGGCATTCTCGCACTAGCCCCTGTGTATTATGTCGACTGGGAGGTGTTTTTGAAAGATTTGTGTCCATT